GCTCACCCCCATCAGGGGATGGTGATCAAAGAGCAAGCCACTGACAGAGAGAGCCTCTGCTCTCATTACTAGAGAACCCACTTGGACACTGAACTGCCATGGGCTACATCTGAGCAGGGGTTCTAGGTTATCTCCATGAAGATCCTTGGTTGGAGTATTAGTCTCAGAAAAGACCTCTGAGCCCAGATTTTTTGGTTTTGTTGCTCCCCTTGTGGAGCTCCTGTCTCCTCCAGGTCTTTCTATCTCCCCCTTCTTTCATAAGATTCCCTGCATTCTGTCCAAAGTTTGTCTATGAGCCTCAGCATCTGCTTTGATACCCTGCTGGGTAGAGTCTTTCAGAGTCCCTCTGTGGTAGTTTCCTGTCCTGTTCCCTGTTTTCTCCCTCTTCCAATGTCTGTCCCCTTTGCCTTTCTGAGTGAGGATTGATCATCTTATCCAGGGTCCTCCTTCTTGATTAGCTTTGTTAGGTGTACAGATTTTAGTATGTCTATCCTATATTAGATGTCTAATATCCACTTATAAGTGAATATATACCATGTGTGTCTTTCTGCTTTTGGGATACCTCACTCAAGACCCCACCATTTGTCTGCAAATTTCATGATTTCCTTGTTTTTAATTGCTGAGTAGTATTCCATTGTGTAAATGTACCACAATTTCTGTATCCATTCCTCAGTTGAGGGACATCTGGGCTGTTTCCAGGTTCTGGCTATTACAAGTAAATGAGCCCTCTTTGGTAAAGATACCTGTTCTGCCGCCATGGCCTGACTGCCCGGGAGGCCTTCTCCACTACTATCACAGTATGGGATTTTATCATATGAGTTTGAGGATATAACGTTAAGACCACAACAACTAGATATATTTTCTCCCTCTCGTTATGAGGGATAATTTTGTATACATATAAAAATGTGTCTTCCATTGTCTCCCAAAGCAGAAAAGCTGCACTATCATTTAAAACCCGTAAGTATGATATAATAAGGCCCATCATCAAAAATATATGGGTCCAAGCCCACTGCAACTAGTTGATGAGGCTGAAAATTCAAGTGCTGTTTTAATAGAATGACTTCTGTAGAAACAGTCTTCCATATTTTTCTGGAATATTTGTGAATGCTGTCATGGGCTTAGAGTTCTCATATGGCTTTATGGAGATAAGTTTCATATCTGAGACATAGCGTACTTAATAATTGGTCACGCTGTTATGAAAATTTTATTAGCACATAAAATATGCATTTGTGAATATACATTGATATACTCAAACATTTCTCTAAGTTATATTTTTCACATATTTCATACCTAAAATCAGACTATGCTTTAGCATTTATAATTTCCTATATTTGTTTGATGAAATTAACAATTGGTTGTGCCCTGGAGCCACTGATATATATGCTATAGATCATGTAAAACTGTAAATAAAGTTTGTAACCCCAGAACTTGCATCAGTAATTGTAAATCAACTCCCTAAAGAAGCCAAAATTAACATAAACTATAATTACAATATATAAACAAAGAAGCATGGCTGTATCTCAATACAGATTTAGAGACATTGAAATGTGAATCACATACTTTTAAAAGTATCATAATAGATCACTATCTTGTCAACCATAAAAATCAGACATAGCACAAAGATCACACAACATAGGTGATGATTTGTTTTGGCCTTCAGGCTATAGTTTTTTCTTTCTTTCTTTCTTTCTTTCTTTCTTTCTTTCTTTCTTTCTTTCTT